TTTTTTGGTGTAACAGTTCAGAGAATAAGGAGTTAGACCATATGGGCTCGAATCCTGGTTTTATCTTGGATAAGCTACATAGCCTCTCTGTGCCTCAGTTTCCTCGTATGTGAAGTGAGAATACGAACCCTCCTCTCTCACGAGCTTGTTGTGAGGGTTGAATGAGTTAGTATCTGTAGTTTTACAACAGTGCTTGGCACCGGGGGTGCCCTCGGCGGATGTCTGCCTCATTATATTTAGAGCATTGGGCAGAGAAAAGAGGCAGAAATTAGGTTAAAAGAGCACATAGGGGATTTATAGGAAAGTGGACAGCTTAAAATGGTGTGAAATTTAATTTTTGAAGAACCCAGGGAATCTTTGATTTTCAAGTCCCATGATTAGATCCTACTCAGCAAAGAGAAACAGATTTACAACCATCTGCGCTTACACAGCTCCTTTTCTTCCTGTCGGCTTATTCCTGACTGACTCACTGCAATCACTGGTGACCTAAATCTTACTTAGAAGTATGTCTATTTCATTTTCTCATGTTAGAAGAGAATAAGAGTTTGGAGATAATACTCGAAGATTATTGGTACAATTATCATGTAATCATTTCCTCAAAGAACATTGGAAAGGAGCTAAGGACAGATGTGTTCACAAGGTACCCAAACACTAATCCTTGTAAGATAAAGAATTTTGTCATAGAAACATTCACATGTCTGGGAAGAACTGTGTCAGAAGTAATTTTGCTAAAATGTGTCATGTCCTCATTCATGCAGCTAATATTCACGGAAAGCCTTCCGAGTGCTAGGTGGAAGAGAAAAATGCATATGGCAATGAATTACTTTTCAGCAGCATACAGTATAGAAAAGAGGACATAGATTAATGATTATTTCTGCCACATTCCCAGTAATGCTTCTGTAAATAGACATTTGGCCCAGAATGACTTCTAAGAATGGACAGGGAAGGAGTCTACTTACTTTAGACTCCTGTGAAGCGTGAAATCTCTGAAAAGCTAAGGCAGAAATAGTTTATTTCCTTGAGTTGCTATTTCCTTGAACCGTATTTTCACCTTTACATTTTCACACCCAAAATGTGCTCTTAACTCTGACTTCTCATTACTCACTGTAGTTCCAAACAGGGGCTTGTCTCTTCCCAATCCTGCTTTGCATCTCTTCCCATGGGAGACATATCAACATTCAGAGGAAAATGA